GATCTTGACCGTTGATTGGATTTAATCCAACGGCCCTTGATGAGAGGTGACCAAACGACGTCGTTTGGTTCTGGCTTTGAATTGGACCGGACCTGGGAGTGTTGGAATTGGGCTGTGGAAGGGTAATTCGATTTGGGCCTGGATTTTAAATCCAGGTCCAATTTTCCCATTCTATTTTATTTTATTTTCTGATTTTATTATTAATAAAAAAAATCCTAATAACATTATAAAACAATTTTTAACCTTACATAAAAATATTAATTATTTCATAACAACTATTTAACACATAGTCAAAACATTAATCACACAGTAACATATTTAAAAATAGAACGAATGCATATTTTTTTTGTGATTTTATTGAAATTATCTCTTAAATGCATAATTAAATCCTATATGCATGCAATTTTTCATTTTATTATAACAATGTAAACACTTACAGACATAACACAAGTATTTAACACCACGCAAAAATTCAAAAATTATACAGTAAAAGAAATTTATTTTATTTTTTGATTTATTTTGGAGTAGTTTTCATTAAAGCAAAAATCACGTGCTCACACTAACTACAAAGAACGACTTCGTTGATGAAATAAATGATATGCTAATTGCTCAATTTTCAGCTGATGAAAAAGTCTATTTAGCTACCGATGAAACAATTGACCCAAAAGATCAAAGTGAATATGACGACTTTTTGCACACTTTAAATCCTCCTGGTTTACCTCCTTATAAATTGTGTCTAAAAAAAATTGTCCAATTATATTATTAAGAAATTTGAATCCCTGCGACGGTTTGTGCAATGGGACACGATTAATATGTAATGACTTTAAATCTCATGTTATTAGTGCTACAATATCCAGTGGTGATTTTAAAAATACACATGTATTCATTCCGCAAATACTGCTATTAACATCAGAAGATGAAAAACTACCCCTTCAATTTAAAAGAACACGATTTTCGATACGGTTATGTTTCGCCGCGACTATAAATAAAGCTCAAGGCCAAACATTAGATTTTGTTGGCATTTATTTGCGAGAACCTGTATTTTCTCATAGTCAATTGTACGTTGCTTTATCAAGAGCTAAAGGTTCTAACTGTGTCAAGATATTAATTAGACCGGTTATAGCTGACGATGATGATGATCACTCCACATATAATGTAGTTTATGATGAAATTATTGAAAAAGCTTTTTCCATAACTTAGACCATCATTCCTAATAGTAAGTGTGATGTAGAACTTATTTACTTTTTGGATTCTTTGATTTTGTATTATAATCATTCTAACAATCTTACGTTTGCTCATTATTATAATTGTGATGCGTTATGATTGTCGATTATGTCTAGATGGCAGAAAGATTCAACATCAATGCGATTACTCCAGAAACGGAAGAATGGACCTGCAAGATACAAGTAGTTGATAAAGGCAGACCTAGAGACAACAGAGAGAAAACGAAAAAATATCAGCTGATGGTTTTGCAAGATGAAGAGATAATCTTTAAAGGATTCATAAGTTTGCCAATAGTAATTAAGTTAATATTATCCAAATTGTGCCTTATTTTGTTACAGGAAAATCAAGTGGAATGCGTTATATTCAATGTGGAGATAATGCATTTTGCAGATCTGTTTCGCCCTTTCTATACTTACTTGGTGTCAGTTGCACAAGTCAAAGAATCAAACTATATGTACGGAAATCCACTTAACAAATTTACATGGACAATTGATAAGTGTACCATTGTTGAGCCAATAGAAACTGTTAATCCTCCAGAAGAGCCACTACCTCCGCCAACGCGCCTAAATCTTACACCATTTGACAACTTTGAATATCAACCCGAAGGATCTGAATTCGGTAATTGAAGCTTTATCTATTTATGTTGTTTGTTTGCCTAAAATTCACATTTATTAGTATTGTTATTATTACGATTATTGTCTATATCAATTTTTATTGTCTATTAGCTTATTCATCGTTCTTTTTAAATGCAAGATGTGCTTGCCATCGTGCTCAACACAAGTCCCTCAACCTATGCTTCAAATGGGCGGAGAATTCAAGATTTTATCATCATGGATGATCAGTAAGTATACATAAACCTGTTTTATTGGATCCAACTAGCAACTGCTGATTCAAGTATGATGTAATGTGTCACTTTTCGTATATTGTCTAACAATAGCCCACAATAACTGAAACCGAAATTCAAGTTGAGATTGTACCCTTTTAAAGGATGCTTTTCATGCTTCAATTCAATTTTGGCTTTGCTGCAATTATAATCTTTCAAAGCATACTTAGATCTACTACGCATTCCTGGAATTATTATGGTTTAAGCTTTTTACTACTAATAATATTTGATCATATCTTTAAATATATTCTCAACAATGCAAAGTTCTTATCTTGTTGTTTCTCTTGCTATAAGAATCTAAGTAAAATTAGGATTGATATCATATTGCGCTTTTGATTTTGTAAATTTTAATTTGGCTCAGCTTTTTTGCAAGTAATTTATGCTTTTCCAAAATTAACTTCAAACTTTCAATTTATTTTGATTTATATATCAACAATTGTTGGGATAGCTGCATAGAGTGACGATGTTTGGTGGCTAAAAGTACACACCAATCAAAGAGTCTAAAAACCATATCATCGGCCTTTAACATTTTAAAAATCTTTATTTGTTCTTCAATAAAGTTAGAAGCAATGATCCAAACAAAGAAATTTTAGTTATGGCAAAATCACTAATTAGAAAGAAGCTATTAAAAGCTAACTTAAAAATTATTTAATGTTATATGCGTCAAAGAATTAGATTGTTGCTAAGAGTTATTCAGAGAAAAATATATTGCCTTCAAATGTAGAAATATAACATAATTAAATATGTAGTTGCTTATTTTTCTCTTTAACAATGACTTTCTAATTTACCCGTAGTTGTTCTTTAATAAAGGTAGTGTTTCAAAAATTATGATTATATTTAAAAAATTTTACCTACTATTAACTCATCCGGGTTTACTAAAAAAATCGATCCTTTTGATGTCATGTTTAGCTATTGGATTTTAAACCAAACTATATTTCAAAAATATGTTTTTTTCCATTCAATACTTTGGATTAATATTGACCAAAATATTCATGTAATTAGAAAGTTGCATAAAGAAGAGCGACTTTGTCTCCTCTAATTTTATATGTTTCTGAACAAATAGATAACCTATCTCAAATTATAGCCAATATAATCTCCCTCTTATTAGGAATTTAAGATGTAGTAGTTATTGCACAAATTGTATCAAATTGATGAATCTTATATATACTAGCTTTTAATTAAAAGAAATTAGAGTTAAACATTTGAATGTCTTTGAAGAAAAGCTAATAAGTAGCTTATAGAAATTCTATTCAAAGTATTCATGCAATTGTGGATTCCTAAGTACTAAAAGTTTGTATATCACAAACATGCTTATAAACTATTGTATTTCAAATGTGCAAATATTACCAATGCTGAAAGATCTAATAGAAGAAAGTAGCATATCAATGTTACGAACATCTCTATTAAATATTCTTGTAAAAGGGAATTAAGATGTTAAAGAGAAGAGATGTACACCTCGAGTCATATAACAATTACAGGTAGACTCATGGGTAGGCAAATAAAGCCACATATATTTATGATACAACAAAAGTGATGCTAAATGACTAGATTGCTCTCATGCATTTTGAAAAAGACACTAAACATTTATCAGATGCATAGCAAAAAACATGAGCAAAATTGAATAAAAACAAACCTGCAGGTAGAAGCAATTTGAGGAAGATGAAGATGTCTCTAAGAAGCAACGAAAATCTGAAAGTGCAAACAAAATGGAGGAAACTAATATGTTGTCTATGTAAAACTCACTTGGGCTCATTTAAAACTTACACGTAGCATTTTGTATAGAAAAACTAAGCCACATGTATAGTAAATTTGTAAGAATTGGCGCGAAAGGACTAATATACCCTCGAGCTTTTTAGAAATGACATAAAACACATGTCGCCATTCCAGCTTTTCCTTAAGTTTCTTCTTCACTCTGGCCACTAGCTTTTACTTGATATCTACAATTTTTTTATTTGCTCTTTGGTTTTTGGGTTTTTTATCATATATGTGAATTCTTCAGAGTTTCTTGGTGATGCGATTTTGATGATACGTGTTGGTTTTTGCAGTTTCCTTCTTTGTGTTTTTGGGCTCTGGTTACATCGCAATATCAAAACTTATTCAAAACATCTTTATGTTGAAACTAATTGGATCATTGCTACAATAAGTTGTGAATTATATCTATTTCTCTTTTAATAAGCATAAAGCAATTCTACCATCTATTCTAGATTTGAGACTTATTGGCTCTTCGACAACATATGATAGTTCAAACTATTTTGCTTTAGAAGCTTTTGTTAGGGACCAATAGTCAAGACCTCAGGAAATATCTGTTTTCTTCGAAACTGATTGCATTATAGAAATTTCTACACATTAAGATACCAATATGTGTTCATTTTTTAATCATGTCTAATATTTAAATGTTGTAATTGATGCTCATTTATGCTGCTTAAGCATTGACATTCCCATGTTGATTTAAGATAGTGATTTAACAATTTTGTTCTATTTTATACTGCAAAAAACCAACGAAATTCACACTCTGGGTCAAATATTCTACATACATGCTGAAGTCGCACTACAAAATGAGAACCAACGATTTTGTATCCTACTTGTTCAGACTGCAAACAACACTTCACACGAGTTATCTCACGGAGAAAGTTCTATTGCACTAATTGCTGTCAAGCTACCCAATTGGTTCCCAGGTATACATGCAACTTTCACATAACTGTTTATATTTAACATTCTACATTCACCATCTTTTTAATTAACCAATCATTTTATCTTACAACTAGGTGCCAATTTGAAATGACGCTCACAGATCATAGCGGTTCTGCAACAACAACTATTGTCGACGAGTATGCAGAAAAAATATTGCTTCTCACTTCGGAAGAGATTTATAATATCTGCAATGTCAAGATGCATTGTCAATTTCGAAAAACCACAAATAACTATTTTCTACCAGTTGAGCCCCCTCTCAAATATAAATAACTAATTTCATTTTTACAGAAAGGACTGTTGCCTCTTGCGAACGCACAAAAGCTACTGACTGGCAAGATCTTCAAGATTCAAATAAAAAAGTTGTTTACAAGAAATAATGAGGCAGGAAAGTTAGTTATTTTGTATTTCATAGATAAAAGTAATTCGGTTGTCTCACAAATGTCGGACACCATCAAGGATGTTGCGGAAGGAAGTAAACAAAAAATTGAACCCGCTGCCCCAGAGAAGCAAGAGCGCCCACACATAACAACCAAAGGCAACGATTCCTACAAATGTAAGGCGGAAATGAAAATTTCCCCTCCGAAAAATTGCTGAGAGGTATTTGTAATTTCTGTTCCTTCTAAATTTAATATGAGATTCAACTTTGTAGAAAAAACAAATACCTTAAACGACTATCGTTTGTTAGCATTTTTGCCAGTGAAACATCTTTTGCTACTATTTTGGGATGCAAGTAAAGCCACAACTTGCTGTTGCTTTTGAATACGGTTAAGCTCACTTTTACGACTGCTTTCTGGATATTCCTCTACTCGGAATATGTCGCATCGACACGAGGTTAGTATTCTTGATTACAAATCTACTAATAAGATCAATATTATAGAATGTATGGTCCAGTTCAAATTACTTTGCAAGCCCGCCCCTTTCTATGCTATTTTAGACCCAACTATCAAGCTATCAAGTCCTTCTGGTATGGCGACTGCTTATAGAACTTTAACTATAAGTCTTAATAAAAATTCTATGAGCTAAGATTTCGAACTTTTTCCACGGATGGCATAAGTAGAAATAATAGTGGATAAATGTTATCAGTCTAAAAAAAGTTGAGATAAAAGCGGATAAACTAATATAGCAATGTACTGTAGGTGCTATTAGTATTGACTTCAAAAGTAGGTACACAACATCATATGTTAATAGCAAGGTATTATTTATTTGGAACAAAATATCCACTCTTGAATGTTGTCTGGTTGGCAAATAATACATTATTTACGTACGTAACAGTATCATATTATTAGATGCATGTGTGTCATATTCTTTATATCATATATGGGAGAATTATTTACATTTTATACTATTTACACATTGACAAATGGTGATGCATTTTTTCTGCTGTATCTAATCTTCTTCTTAGTAGTTCTTCACCAAAATATACCTGTACAGTTATAAAATAATTGTTAGTGCTCAACAAAGTAATGGGTGAAGAATAACAAAGAATAAAAATTTGATGTTAAATAGTGAGGAATATGCAAGTAAAGGAGTCGAGATATTTTTTTGCTGCATAAGTTTCCTAATTAAATTTTGGCTTCCTTTTTGGTCTCATAAAATTTTGAAATGCCTGATGAGATATCTATTCTCCTTGATTTTTTATATACTGACAAATCACTTAAATAACCATTTTATGTCACCATGTAATGTATGTGCCGCTAAAGCTCTCTTTGGGAGGTAAGTCGAGTTATCACAATGCAAGAAAAATATCATATTTAGTGTTATCCACCTCTATGCCGGCTCCAATGAACCAGCTAACATCCCACAAGAATACTCTCTTGTGGATAGCTGCTCCACTTGTTGATCTGCCTGAGTTGTGCATTTATGCTAAATCATGAATTTCCTTTCTCAACTTTTTCTCCGTAAATAATGATATCTTCTATTTCTTCAACAACTAAGTAATAACTAATATGGCTACTAAATTAAAGTCCCCATGGATATGTCCCATTAAAGATACGTATTTTGTTGTTATTGAGAGTGAGATGTTCGGATAGATTGTCTTATGCAATTTGGTGGATCTGTTTGGAAGTGTTAAACATAATGTTTCAAATGTTAGTTGGTAAGGTGTCACGTTAAGTTTGAAACAATATAATGTAATATGTATTTGGCACCAGTTTAAATGTTGAGGGATGAACTTTCCTCTTTAATATGAGTACCTATTTTTGGAAAAACCGAAAAGGATAGCATTATTATGACAGAGTAAATAGAACTTGATGGAAACGTTGTACAAAGTAATATGACTCTTTTAATATATTGTTTAATATCTTTCTTTCTCTTCTCTGTTTCAGTTCGTGCTCTGTTTTTTGGTTGGTCAATCCTTCTGGAGCAGCTTTTCTTGGGTACTCAGAGGTACAATTTCACTTTCTTTAAAATGTTATCCGAGAATATGTCAGCCTTTTCACAATACTTAATACAAAGTGGTTTTAACGCTGCATCTGAGTATACATATATTGGCCATTTTCTTGCTCTTTGTTCGTTATCTTTTCCCGTCTTCCATAATATTTCATCTTCCTCTGTTCAAATTTTGCTGATTTATGCATTTCAATTAAAAAAAATTTTTGCATGCCCATAGGGCTATGCTAATGTTCTTGGTGTGGCGACTGGGCTATTCAAAGCTTAAAGTTAGTATATTTCATTTACCTGTTGTTGCTCGACTTTCCTTAGTTAACATATAACGGTACCCTTAACTATTGATGTTATTAAAGTAGTATGCTTAAGTTTTGGCTAATTTAGGAGATCCAAATTATCTCTATTTTTTTAATGGTTTCTCTGTTACTATGGTTTCTTTCATTGTAGTTCTCCTCTAATTTTTCCCTGTCATTCAAATGACTATTTGATGAATTGAGTAGTTTTTTTTTTGGTCCTTCGATGCAGTTCTTACAGACTCTGATAGAATGTGGAATGAATTTTTGTTGAAAGCTAATACTATACAAGTTGTGCCATGAATTGTTATTTGAATATGATTTTCACAAATAAATCTAATATTGGAATTGAGATTGTGTGCTCTAATAAGATCTTTTCCATGCTTGAACTTAATTTTTATTTCGTTGCAGTTACGATCTTGTAGAACGTACTTAATTCCAGCTGACAAATTTTGTGCAAAAAGGCTTTCTTAGTTCCTCCAAGTCTGTAGGGGCAAAAACGAACAACCTTGGCTATATGCAAAGAGGCCTTCTTAGTCCATATTTCACATCAGAACATAAACAATGGAATCAAAGACATAATATGCTTGGCTATGTGCTAACCTTTACCTAGCCTACTTGGTTTTGTTAAAGCAAGCTTAACCGAATTACATTACTGATGTTGTTTACAGAGCATTACATATGCTGTCTTTAACTCTTTTTTTTGGCTTTCGTCGATTCAAAAACACTTCAACATGTCAGATTCGTTTTGATGTTCTGTTTTCTTTTGCTTTTATGGCCACACTTAAATCACCAATGATTTAAATTGATCTTTCTTAGACATAAATTTAAATGTTTAAGCTACAAAGTTTATCGTGACTGCTTTTCTGTTTCAATTATTTTCTGTTTCATATATGCTGCTACTATTAAACAAGTACTTTTTTATGTTGCTTACCTGAAATTACAAGCATGTAATCTTCGTTGTAACCTTTTAATTTATAACACGTTTATTTGTTTGCAGATATTTTTGGCGAAGAACTAACAGGAAAAGGATCAGAAAAAAGACCAAAGACCGCATATGTAAATAATTGTATCATACATGTTGTAACTGTTGTGGCACTTTAGACATCCCTTAATGTAATGCTCTTGTGAACGCATATATGTAAATTAAGTGTGTACCACTTAACATAAAATATTATCTACTAGATTCCATACTTGCATCATTAAATTTTGAGTTAAATAACGTTGGGCCCGTGCTGGCACGGGCTACACTATCCTAGTATATTAGAAGAGCTGGTTTTGGACATGTCTGCTTACCTGTCTTTTAATTTTTGTTTAAGGGCATTTTGGACCTTTAACAGAATCTAATAATCCATGTCCTTTAAATCCAAAACTGAACGGCCACCGCATCAGTTCTTGCACTCAATCACTTTAGAACGAAACATGTGTTTGTGATTATCAGTTAAGATATGTTTTTTCTATTTTCTTTGGTTCCATCGCCTTTTTTCTCTCGCTTTGCTCCGACTTAAACATTGTCGGTGAGTTCTAGTGATTGTGTTGTTCCTTGCTACTTCCTCTCTATTCTTTCCATGTTCTTCGTTCTTCTTTGCGGGTTTTCCCTTTGAGTCTGCTTTGCACACATCTATCTTCATTTGTTTTTTGATTTCAGCAATCCAAGATGTAATAATCAGGGACAACTTCAGTACTGAAGATCTCAACTAAGGTAAAATACTATTTTTAAGCTCTTGTACTTAAAGGATCATAAACCCTATCCAATAAACACTTTATCTGCTTACCTCTATGTTTTGTGGCAAAAAGTTTTGATTGGGGTGTTTTTGTTTCTTTCGTGTTTAGTAAATGGTTTTGAATTTCTCATATTAATTAAGAATAATTGTTTAATGCTGAAGAAAGACCAGACCTTATAACCCTCTCAAAGTGAGCTTTCCAATCCGGCTATCCCAGTCTTGTGCTCTCTCCTATTGGAGGTTTTCAATATATTATTAGAACTGGATATGGATTTGTAGTTAGCTTTTGTTGAATAGACTTCGGGACTTCACTGAGAAGACTCAAACATGACAAAAATGTTTATCACAGATTTTGAGGAGGTTTCAGCCTTTCAGGTAAGGTTCATCTCATATCTTAAAGGACCCAATTTGTTGCTTTTTTGTAAATAGAGACTTGGGTTGTTATATCCCATTCGTCGTCTTCTCTTAAGATTTAGAAAATATGAATGGTGCCTCTATTTTCAGAAGTTCAAAATAGATCACATCGCGTAAATTGCGTAAATATCTGGTATGATAACCACCGCACCATCTTGCTTTTCTTTTCCACCTTTCTCAAAAGTGTTCTACATTTCATCTTCTCGGATGATTGCAACGCCATTTATGCCTATTTTCTCTCTGCTATTTACTCTCTGTAACTTTTCTGTTGTTCAGTCCTTTGTTTTGTTTGTGAATGCTTACAGTTTCAACTTGCATATTGTATTAGAACTTCAAGATGGGAATCCATCACTGCTAGATCTGGGTTCAACCCTTTGTTCCGAGCATACTGTTTGTGAAATGAGAGGTATAATAAGTTATTAACACTGATTTACCTCTTTTTAAATTTAATGATTTACGATCATAGTTGCTATCTTTTTTAGTAAAAAATGGAATAAGAATCGAAGTAAAATTAGGACGGATTCATATTACGCTTTTGCTTTTATAGGTTTTAATCTGTATCTTTTTTAGGAAATCGATTTATGTGCTTTTGTGTGTGTAATTTTATTGACTGACCTTGAAATTTCGATCTATTTTTTTATTTATTTATAGGCATAGTTTTGTTATTTGTGCATCAGTGTTATATGTGCGAATAATTACATTCTTGCTAAGAATTATTCTGAGAAAAATATAATGCGTTCAAATGTGGAGATATAGTATAATTAAGTTTGTAGTTGCTCTTTTTTTCTTTTTGATAATGACTCTTCTAAAAGATATACATAGGTTTCTTCTACATGTCGTCTCCGGTCTTTGACTCTGTTCAAGCTACAGGTATGCACTCTTTTTCTTGATTTATTTTTTTGGGTCAGCTTTTTTTGACTTCTCTCCATCTTTCTTAGTTTTGCTATTTAATGGATGTAGAAATCCTTCATAAAAATAAAAAAATTCATTCTTGATTTCTCTTCTGTGAAGCCTAAATGCTTCTCGGTCTCGGCTTGATAATGATATTGATCTAGGTGTTAAGCCTAATTAAGTAGAAGAACTTTTATACTTTCTGATTTTGCTAGGATTTTTTTAATAATTTCTGATTTCGCGATTTAATGGTTATTTTGTTATAAATTGGGGAGTGTTATTTGAATAACTAACTGTAAAGAAGCATATCATGTTAGTAATTTCATCTGCTTTAGGCTTCTTGCTCACGATTTGAATTCTTTTTTTAAAAAAAGAGAAGGATTTTGTCTTCAAAATGCTAAAGAAACAGAAATTAGATCTCTTCCAGCGTGCTAGCGATATCTAGGACCAAGCTAGCAGTTACTTAGTCGTTGTATGCAAGGCTGCCACAATCGCTTAAATTGGTTTAATTTTTTTTATCTTTCTCCGCCTTTTGGTTGGAGTTGCCTAACACTTTGTTATTTTATTGTGTTTTATTTTTATTATTGTTGCAGTTTCTGCATTCCATTGTGATAATTGTGTATCCGTGTGTTTGTGAAGCATTTTATAGTGTGGGATGTAATGCTCTTCTACTCCTTGATCTCCTTAATATTCTATGTTATTATGTATGTTGTATTTCTTACCTGGGTTCTTTAGTTTTATGATATGTCTACATGATAGTGAATATAATACATGTTGATGTATGCACATTAATCAATATTAAAATATACTCAATAACGTTAAACATGTTATTAAAATTTCACGTGCAGGAATGAAAAAGTATTGCTGAAATGTCGGATAGAAATCTGAAAAATGGTCAAAACTTCGAAAAAGTACATTCCGACGAAAAGGCTAGGCGACACTAATTATATAGAATGATGCAAGATGATAAAATAGAGGCTCTCTTAACACGTGCACGAGCAAACAAAGCTGAATGAGTAGATACATCTGGCTGCCAGTTGAGTTATGCATATGATTTTTAAGTTCTCTTCATATTCTTTGGTGTAACTATTATATGTATGTGATTATTTTTTTAATGGGTCTACGGATATTTTTTTTACCTAATAATAAACACTATTGAGCAATTATAGAGTTCAGCGGAAGGCAGCTAACAAGATAGCCTTGCATCAAGTAGCAAGTTGAAAAAGAGCACAAGTAGAGTTGGAAGAGCCAAATCATGCTCATGTTGTATAAAAGCTCTTTTGGATTATGGTCATTTATTATTATTTCAATAGGAAGTACTGTGTCTACTATCATCATCGCAAGTGAAAAATAAAACTAAATTTAGCACAGGCCATCATCGCCTAGTTTTTATTAGAAAAAAACTCATTTAAAAGTTTACTATTCCAAAAGTAGTCTTATTTGGTAAGTTCAAAGCATCTATAATTTCTTAGAACATATCTAGACTGGAGGAAATCTTGAAAGAGATAAAAGTATTGCAATTATCTCTGCTTTACAAAGAGGAAATGCCTCCAAGGCTTTCCTATTATTCAATAGTACTACACAAGCAAATACATGATTTAGTGTTATGTTTGAAACATTGTTGCAGCAACAAACATAGACAAATACAAAGGTC